CCCCATTAACCTTATGCAGGAGGGTGTAGCTGCTGCTGAGGAAGGTTCTCGCTTCTCTCCTCTTTCTCCACCCCTCTCCAGTGTGTAGCAGGGGGTGGGGGGGGGGGGGGGGGGTTTCTCTCTCTCTGATTCACAACATGCCAGTATTTTGGTATTGATTTTTGCAAATGGTTGCACAGTTCAGATAAAGCACAATGAAACAGTGAGGATAATTAAGATAAGGCACAGAATATAAACCTCATGATTCACCCCAACCTTTATTCTAAGCACGAAACAGAACGGCTTGAAATTTTTCATGAGAATTTTTATTATTATTATTTTCAAGCACATGCTTTTCCATTGTTAAGCTTATTTTGAAATAAGGCAGATGCTGGAAACTCCAAGGAAAACATGAAACGACTCCTATACCCAGTACGCAGAAGTAACTAAATCAGAACACAGTACAATACAACGAAGAGGAAGAACTCACAACTAATAAATTGCTGGCATCATATTCATCAGGAAAACTCCTTAATTTTGCAAAAGTATATAACTGTAATAATTGCTCATCAAATTCAAACAGCAGCAATGCTTAAAAAAACAAACACAGGACGATAATTTTCTTTGTATCTGTATTTCCAGAAAACCTATGGCAGGAATCTGATCAGTACACCAAAGAATGGGTGGTGAACAATGGGGGGAAAAAAGAAGGTTGGTCTGCACAAGAAATGTAATGGGGCTAAATATGAACTATTTCTGTTCCGAATGTATTGAAAATGTTCTACACTAATTAGGAAAAATACTTTCAAAGTTTCCTCTGATTTTTTCCTAATTAAACATGATGAAGCAGGATGGTCATGTTTATATTTTCTGTGGCCAAGGAAAATGAAAGCCTCATAGAGATCAATCATATATATTACTAAAATCTTTGGTTGCTTGGGATCCAAGCTGTCTTAGGCCCTTTAATTTCCCTTCTCAATTTTCACTTCTAATAAGCTACTTTTCAGATGTGCATTAAAGTTATCTTCATTTGAAATCAACAATGAGAATACGCATTTTAAACAGCAGATGATAGGAAATATTAATGCAAAACTATTTCATTTATCATCTATTTATTTATTATGGAAAGAATTAATTTAAATAATGCAGCACAATTTTCCATTAGTCTTGCAACTAGATATGAATTATTTCCATCTTTGAAGATTCTTGCCTAATAAATGCTGCTTTGGGCACTGAAGTGTTCCCTAAACCAAGTGTGTAGTAAAGTCTTCCCTGTAAACCGTAAGATAACCCAAGGTAGCACTGCACACACAAGCCTTTGTGCGTGTACACGTGCGAATAACTTTGTGAATATCAACAGACTGCATTCAAATTCCCAAGCACTGAGGCTAAACATACAAAAGCTACCTCCCATCGCTTATTTCGTGACATAGGTGGAAAAAGAATACAAAAGCAAAAACATGTAAAACCAGAGCAATCCGCTTCCTAGGTGGTTTTACCTCTGCAAACCTCGAGGGACACAGCACTTGGGAAGAGGAACTGTTCCTTTAAAACTAGCAGAGTGATACAATGCTGCGGTACTCTGGCACAGCGGCAGTCCTCCAAAGGGAAAATAGTTATCCTTCGAAGTACCACAAACGCATGAATGGGGGTGCTGCCCCTGCAAAACCTCAGTCTACCAGTGAGTCCACTGCCCTTTTCAGTACCAGGACACGGCTCCGTGCACAGCCGTCCTGAAGACAGGAGGGCAAACGCCCAGGGGCAGAGTCGCCCATGCGGAGCTTGCAGCCCTGGGGCCAGTGTCCAGACCCCACGGGAGCTGTAGCAGCCGCTCTTTGGCCTCCGGTCCCCAGGCGTCTTCTGGCCCTGACCCTCTGTGATGCGCCGAGCAGCCCCATCCTTCCTACACGCTACAGAACAGTGCAGGCTAGGGTGCAGGGGAAATAATCAATAACTACTTAAAAAATATATAGAGAGAGTTGGCTTTGAAGAAACTTAAAACAGACAAAATTTGGGGGCAGCGTGTTTACAATGTCTCAAATTATAGCTGCATTCTTATTTCAGTCACAACAGGTTAAATCATCACGAGCGTCTCTTAAGTCAATGAAGTAGTGTTTCAGCTTTCATTGTAGTAGAGCCTAAATCAAAAATAACTCTTCAAAGCATGGTTTTGACTACTGGGTCTCTGCAGAAGTTATTATGAGTAATGATCTTGGTATTTTTGACAGGCAAAACTCTGCTGACTAATAATATAAGAAATACAGGATCAGGTCCATTAAAGGATGCTATATAACGTAAACATTACTGCTTCCAAATAACTTCAATAGAAATCTTCTAAAATGATAACTATATATCATATACAAACCCATTTTTACACCTTGTAAATCTTTACTTTGAAGATGTAAAACTGAAGTCAGGCATGATTCTATAAATGTATAATATATACAAATAGTATTTAATATATTTATTTTTTTTTTTTTTAAGTTTTTCAATAGCCAAAAATACATCTGATCAAAGAATGATTTCTTCCTACTCTGGACACAAGAAAAAGGTATTTTGTAATCAAAATATATTATTCTCTAGGCGTCGTCTGGGACTAACCATGAGATGCTTGGCAACTGAATCCAAGTTAACATTCTTAACGCACAGGCTCTGTCCCAGAATTATTGCATTGAATATGGAGATAAGAGAATCGAAATTTACTACAGGACCTACAGAAACGTTTAAGATGAGAACACTGTGAAAAGGAGTAGGGAACACACTGAAAAGGTATGCATGGCATCAGGGACAGAGAACCAACTTTATCTGGGTTTCCTACAGAACTATTAGACCTAAGAAAACATTTACTTGCAAGAGTAGGTGACAAACTTAACGGGAAGTCTCTTTGCTACTGTGCAGCGTAAAGAAGTACCAAAAATTCATTGACACCTGTAAATTGCATAAATCATATCATCTTCCTTTGTCAGGAAAATCAATTTCCATATGAAAAGAAACCTGAGCTTAACTCTCGCGTATTTGCTTTTACATCCTATTTTCCATTTTCTTCTATGTCTTATTTATCATTTCCTATAAAATCTTCTCTAAAATCTTGCCTCATCAAACTTGCAGGTCTGTATTTTAACAGATCACATCTTTTCCTTTTTTTAAAAAACAAATGGTAGATTTGCTTTTCTCCAATTATAGAGTACCAGCCAACTGAAGTATCTATAAAATGCCTGCTAGTGCACCTGCAATTCCCTCTTCCAGCCCTTTCAGCATGCAGGTAGGAGGATATCCGGTCCCTGACACAGGTGCACGAGGCTCCCCGAGATCTGTGTCTACCCCGGTTGCAGTAATTGGTATTTTGTAATCAAATGAATGAAAGCGCCATGCTGAGGCACATTACTCACCCAAACACTGGCACTACAGCAAGCTGAGAGCGCTGCGAGGAAAGCTCTTCACGAGCACCTTTGCAGACGGGTCACAGCTCCATTGCTTTGGCTGGGCAGCTCATACCAAGGGGATTAAGCTAGAAGCACAGTGCATGTACTACTGTTTTAGATCAAGTTGCCATTTTCAGGCTCCGGTCACATGGCTTGTACTGGTATCAATGGAAAGGAGCTCAGGAAAGATTGCAATTCAAACATCCACTTATACACTGATGGGCCCCCGCGTACCACCTATGGTGTGAATGCAGTGCGTGCCTCCGTTCTGCCACCCGCTTAAAGCCTTGCAGCCACGCAGTGCAACCCATACGTCTCATAAGGCTTCCATTTCTCAACTACAGCATATATGAACAGTGAAACATGATAAGACTTGAAATTTCTGAATGGCATTTTATGAATCTGCTCTCTGTGATTAAGAAAGTGATACGGAGTTACTTAATCACAAGCCACTACAAATGACATTTAGACAGCTGTGCACAGGATCAGCTGAGGTTAAAAGGAGATATGGAAGAATCTCCAATAGCAGATTTTGAAAAGGGGTAAGATTTTTTACCTTTAATGAAAGTTTATGCACGCAATTTTTACAGCTCTTTTTTTTCCATTTTGAAAAGGTAGATATAAAACAATTAACACAAATAAAAGCGTGAAATATTTCACCTGTAACTATCAGTGCGAGTAAGTGACCAGGAGAATTAACTGCATTTCCATAACTAGACTTTCAGCTTTTAAGCAATCACACCACTGAATAAGCTAAAACCTGAAATCTCCAATTAAATAAAATTCTTGTCAACTTTACAGAGAATTCATATTAGTAAGAACTGAGTAATATCCAAAGTGGGTCTGCTTCTGGGTTTTAAGTAAGTCTCTGTTTTAGTTCCTCAGGTTAAATGACTTCCAACAAAGGAAATCACTCTGTGCATGACTCAGTTTTGTGTTTCGTGTTTCTGCTAATACTACACTACCCTAATTTGGATACCTAGAGTAATTCACAGAGGTTTACAGAATCACAGAATGGTTGAGGTTGGAAGGGACCTCTGGAGATCATCTAGTCCAACCTCCCTGCTCAAGCAGGGTCCTCTAGAACACATTGCACAG